CACCATCATCTCCTTCGGCAGCGCGAGGGGGAAGCCATCAGGATGCATTTGCCCCCGGCCCCGTTAGAGATTACAAGCATCTTCCCAGGACGTGGGACAACCAAAGGTGCAAACACGCGCAGCCCGGCTCCATGTCCGCACGCTCCCCTCCCGCAGGTCCTGCCCGGGGGCAGCCGAGGCGCAGGCCGCGGGGAACAAGCCCACCCGTGCGGGAACTACTCGGGTGGAAAATGCCCAAACAAGCACAACCTGGCTGAGACCCTTGGGCCAGGACCTGTAAAGCTGCTCGCTGTGACGCTGCCAGCATCCCGCAGAGCACTGCGTCCAGGTGGAGAGTCAGTCCCCTTGCAGGCGGGAGGGGAGGAAGCTGGCTGCAGAAAGATGCTCAATGTATGTTACTGGCACTCGCTCCGGGAACGCGGTCGATGATCTCGCACAGCCCAGGGCAGGAATCAAGCGTGCTTCAGCCCTGACCTCGCCTGACTTTCTTGCAGGCTGCAGAGGGGATGGGGACATGCCCCCAGCCCCACAGCCCATCTGAATTTACTGTGGGCCTTGTCTTGCGATGGCTTCTCCCTCCCGTGAGCCTGCATGGACGAAATGCGATCAGAGGCCGAGCCTGTCACCGGGTTTCAAAGGCGGCCGTGCAGGGCAAAACGCTCCTGTTCGGCCCTCGGGAAGGAAGGGGAGGGCCGCGGGGACACGGGCGACACGCCAGCCGCCTCCCTCGGGGATGGCAGTGAAGACCCCACGTGCTCAAGACGTGTTCCTATCCTGAAGACGAGGATCACAGCAGATCCCATCACTGTTGGCTCTTGCAGGCTCTCCTAGAAAAGTATTGGACAAAAAGCGCATTTAGAGGAAACAAACCAACCAAACGTGCACCCGCCAGCTAGAGAGGGCTGTCATGCCGGGGCTTGCCTTTCTGCAGCCATCTCTCCTTTCTCCCTCTAATGCTGTTGCCGATGTTTATTTTAAGCTAAAGGTGTTTTGAAGCCTGTGCCCTCATGCTGGATTCAGCAAAACAGAAGGGATGCAGGGTCCAAGTTCTGTAACTGTATCAAAACTCTTCCTCCTCCTCCCAGTCAAAATCTGCTAGATTTTATTCTTGGTCTTCCCAGAAATCCCCCAGGCTTGCACACCTTCCATTCCACTACGCTGCCCACCCGCGCAGCAGTGCCCATGTCATCATTTGGGCAGCTTAAATGCCCTCCCCCATCCTCGCTGGCCCCACCTCGGTGGTGGGAAGCGGCTCCACCATGACGCAAACTGACCTTCCGAAAGAGACTCGCGGGTTTCCCAAGGTCTGGCTTGTGTAACGCTCGCACCGAGAGCCAGAACCCGCAGCAGAGCTGGCACGGGCTCCAAATTTCCATTTCAAAGGAAATTTCAGCGTGTATTTTGCTTTACAATTCTCCAGGAGCGTCCCGGTTACAGCCCACCTCCCACAGCAGG